AGGGGGTGGGGGAGGAACCTCAGCTGCTCCTTGTCTGCTCACAACAGGGTCCCTGCACGGGCAGGGCTGACGGTGCCCACCCGGAGGCACCAGGAAACGGCTAAGGCAAACGACCAACCTTGGCCTGGCGTGCCTTGTTCTGCTGGGTCGCGGGGACCAATGCCCAGCGCGGGGCCCGCCTGCAGGTGCCCTGTCCGAAGAGCCCCCGCCTACCTCGGAGATCTCTGCAAACTGAGCGTTGGCCTGGCAGCACTTCTCGGCCATTGCTATGGCGACTTTGTAGTTGTCCACAAAGGCCCGGTACACGCCCAGCTGGCTGGCCTGCAGGGGGGAGGGCAGAGAGCGGGGGACAGGGTGAGACAGGCGCCGCGGCACCCCATCTCTCTGAGAATCGAGCTGCCGTGCACAGCTCCGGAGGAACCCCAGGTGCCAGGCGGTGCAGAGCTGCAGACAGCTCAGCTCCCCGCGCCGCAGCCTCCCACCTGCCTCCCCGCCCCCTGCACCGAGCCCGCTTCCCTCTCCCACAGCGACAGCGACACGAGAAGTGACTCACGGCCCACCCCGGGCAGGTAACGGCTCCCTGCCCCAGCTGCTTCGTCCTCCCACCCGACGCCTTTAAAAGGTGCCACTGACAAGAGCTGAAGTTCAAGGCTGTCAGTGAAGGCAGACAGAGGTCTCCACGCAGGTGGGATGGAGTGGCACCTGCCCCTTCTGGCTGCAGGGGGGTTGGCCCCTCAAGCCTGTGGTGGATACGATGCTCCATTGACATCGGTATTTTTTTTTTTAAATCCTCACCGGAGGATATTTTCCCATTGATTTTCAGACAGAGTGGAAGAGAGAGAGAAACATCGATGCGAGAGAACACATCAATTGGCTGCCTCCTGCAAGAGCCCCCACCAGGGCCCGGGCTGGGGAGGAGCCTGCAACTGAAGTACGTGCCCTTGTCCAGCATCGACCCCGGGACCCTTCGGTCTGCAGGCCGATGCTCTATCCACTGAGCCACACCGGCCAGGGCCCCAGTCACATCCGATCCCTGCAGACACATAAGGGTCGTGCCATCTGGCTGCCTTTGGAGGGGCTCCGACTGCTCAGATATGAGCCCGGCCCAGACCTGGCGAGGGGACCCAGGCGTCTCACTGCCCGCTGGCTGCAGGCTGGAGAGGCCTTTTGTTTGGCCTTTTCAAGTCAAAGACATTAGCAGAGGGTCTCCCCACAGAGCCCGCAGCTCACACTCCATGGAGCAGCCCCTTCCATGGGGAGAAGCGTGTGTGCAGCCACCGCCGT